AACCCATTTTGGCCGTTTTGACTGTCGCATCGACCCTCTCGACCGACCATGGTATGGAAGAACCTAAGTTTTATGAAATACTACAAAGCTACTATAAAACAACATTCATAAAACCCTGGTCAAGACTGCTTTGCCATTGATGCATCCAACAAAACCTCATTGATGCTAGAATCTGTCTAGTTGGCCCACCCTGGAGAAGGTTCTGAAAGGTGTATTTTCGAAGCTCTTCAAGATTGATTTACTGCAAAATGGTTGTACGATAAACGCATTGAAATCCATTTCAAAACCATTAAAAGCAACAATTGAAAGCATTATCCAAGCCATTTACACTAGCCACTTGCCAAGTTCACTAGAAAAACAACAATCAAGATAAAAAAGGATTCATAAATACCATCCGATCTTATCAAAATAATTAAAATAGAAACTGATCATATAAAAATCCTGCCGAATTTCCAAAATAAAAGAATAGTTCTCTTGAAGTGGCCTAGTTTTAAGTTCCGTATAAAATTTGATGTGAAATGTACGTGAAAACATCGAAAAACTTGAGGTTTTGAAATGGCTGTAATTTGAATACTGAATTGCTTTTATCTAAAGCCCATTTGCTTTATCCTAACCCGTTCAGATTTATGGGAGCATTTATGGCGGCAATGTTGCCTATAAAATGTTAAACGTCAAAGTTTGTTTATCTTTCGATAGTTGCGCTGTGCGATTCAGCGTTCTTCCAGGCGATTTTCTCCCGATGGCTTGGAAGCAGTTACTCAGGAAGTGTTCACAACATTTTGCACAGCTGTAACCTCGATCATTCCCGAAAAGATCCCCCTCTTCCGGATGGTTCTGGAAGTGCACCATCAAACGATGCAGGAATGTACGGTTGAATGAATTTTTTCCAAGTGATGACCCTTTTGCCGAATAAAATCGCAGCTATGGATCGGAAACCAACTAGTGTCCGCTAACTGACAGTTTCAGTGGTCTGGAGAAGGCTGGTCTGTTTTCAGACTGTTTGACAATGTTTTATGAATTTGAGGACCACGCTCACTTCACTCTTATCCACCAGATGCTCAGTCGTTGATGGTACCCGGTCCGTCGGACGTGCTGTTTCTTCTAAAGAACTAAATTTGACTGAAATCGACTTCCCTTCGGTCGTTAGCATCGCTTGAATTTTTCCTTCAACTTCGTTTATCCTTCGAGATATTTGGTTTTTATTCACTATGAGGATCCATCCTTAAAGTTCAATTTATAAACAGAGGAGATTTTATGATACACTTTTAAAAGCCTAAAAGGCAACAATATATGAATTTTGCTCTCATTTACAACCTAATGGTTTTATGATTGCTTTTATAATGATAGAACAGGTTTATAGAGTATTTTATCAAGACATTAATAAAAAATTGCTAATGAAGTTTATGATTGATTTATAGAACAGTTTTATGGTGGGATTGAGAACTACTTTAAATTTAATTTTAAAACAAGACAGTTTTTGACTTCTCGCCAACTGTTAAAGGTTTTTAAAACAGCGAAAAGGTGAACTACTAAGCATGAACGTTTTACACTGTGAAATGCTGTATTTAAACTAAATAGATTATTCATTACCATTATAAAACCATAATAAATTAGAGTGGATGCCAAATGGTTGCAGAATTGTTACTTGGGAACTCTGTTGGCGAGAGGACCGAATAGAAGCTATTCTGGACGAAACCAGGAGCCGCTGGGATTTTCGCTACGAATCGGATGAGATAAACTTAATTTTGTTGGCTGTGAAGAGATAAGAGATTTATGGTGCAGATAAAACTCACAGATTTTTTCGAAAAGTGGCAAGGCACGATCCTTGAACCCAATGTGAAGCCCAATGGAGTAAACAAAGAAGTCAATCTTAGCAACAATTGGCAAAACGTCAACACTCGACAGTGATGCCGTTTTGTATTATATTGTTTGTATCCTACTTGTCAACGACGTGTATCCTAAAGTGCCAAATAGTGTGCCATGCTGTGTTTCGGCACAGTGTGCAGAGTTGATTACCCTTTGGCTGGACCACCATTCTGATGATACGGCTCAGCTGCATTCACTAATAATCAACACACTATTCTAGACGGATCCGAGCCCTCTGGAAGGATAAATTCAACAACAACTGAAAATGACAACTGCCACTTTGCGTGTGATCCAAATTCATTTCAGGCACGAAAATCACAATTATGGATTCATGAAGCACGAAATCATGATTTTATGTTGTGTTTCTGTACTGTTAAGAACTCGTTAGTCACGCTGAATAGGCGTGAACTAAGTCCATGGATTTGGGATTTATTTCATGAAAATGTGATAACCTCGATCACGTTTAGTCATGAATTCAAATGAACTAGAAGTTCAGGATATCGTGATTTTTTTTCACGAATACTGGAACGGATTTTTTTGCGTGTATGGAAGAATTATCATTAATCACCTATATCGCTCTAACGTTGCTTCTACTTGTCCAAATGTTGGGAAAAAAATATTTTGTTACTATCGCACTGAACAAACAGGCTATTGTTGTTACAATCAGTTTTACAGCATATCAAGAAAAATAGAAACGCGAAAAAATGACAAAATAGTGTAAATTAAGTGCGAGCCATTAACACCAATTCCAGCGCAACAACAACAGACTTGTTGATCAATGACATGACAACCACACCAATAGTTTCCCATACTACACACTTAGAAAAATTTATGTAAATTTAGATGTTCTGAGACTGACATAAGGCCTGTACTCGAAAAAAATGCACCAGATAAAAGTTTTCGCCAAAAATTTATTTTAAGTCGGATTTTCTTGAAACTTTCAGGGAATGAACTAATACATATGGATTATGTTTAGGCATAATTACTTTATTCAATTTCCTTTCCATCGCTGAAATCCCGCACCTTTCCCTTAAGACCCCTCATTACGTTCTGTTCAGTGGTGGAGCCGACCTTTTTGGTCACTTTCATCCATTCTTTCTTCAACTCCAGCTCGTTCTTAAACACCTATGACGATTTTCGAACTTTGGCCTTCATTATGGCCCAAATTTTTTCAACCGGACGAATCTCTGGTGGATTTTCTGGGGTTGCCGGTTTTTGGTACAAAAACAACGTTATTGTCTCTGTACAAATCCAACGTCGATCGCGCGTAATGGCATGATGCCAGGTCCGGCCAAAATAATGTCTCGCCTCCGTGGGACCGCAGGAAGGGCAACAGACGCTTCTGGAGGCACTCGGTGCGGTAAATTTCGCTGTTGATGGTACCCATTGTGATGTACGGTTTACTCAGTTTACCGCATTGACATATGGCCTGCCAGAGTAAGTATTTTTTGGCGAATTTGTCCACTTTCTTCTTCCTTATGTCTTCCGGAACATCAAACCGTGATTTGGCAACGTAGAACTCCAGCCCCGGTATCTGCTTTGCGTCTGCCTTGATATAGGTTTCGTCATCCATAACCAAACACATCGGTTTCGTTAACCACTCTCGATACAGCTTCCTTACGCGGGATTTGGCCGCCGTTTTTTGTTGATCACGCCGGTTCAGTGCCTTCCGGACCTTGAATACACGAAGCCCAGCTCGTTTCATGGTTTGCTGAATAAACTAGGCGGAACACTTTGCCTTCAGAGCCGCGTCGCGAATCGAAAGGTTCGGATTACGCTTGAAATAATCCAACACCTTCCGGGCCTTCACAGGGTCAGTTGTGATTTTCTTCCACTTTCAGCCCGCCACTCGGTCGTCTGGGACTCGTTAAACAATTTTACCACACGAGACACAACGAAAGTTTGAGAGCTTGCGCATGATTGAAGGGTTTAACGGCTTTTTCAGTCTTTTTACTGCAGCAAAAACGTTGTATTGCTTCAACTCTCCGACGTTTCGGTGATATATTTCACCATTTTCAAGGATTTAGAGGCTACGTTTTTTTTGTTAAGTGTATGCGTGGTTTTACATAGATCCGTCTTTGACACAGTTGTATGGGTGATTCCCAGTTGTCTTCCGATCCATCTCATGGTCGCCGTCGGATTTTCCATGAAGGCGCGCAAAATTCTCCGGCGATTTTCTTCTTGTTTCGATGACATCTCAATAACCGCTGGACCGATTGTTATGAAATTTTGCACATGTAAACAATTCACTCAAAACTAGTTATAACCAGATTTTCATCAATTTTTACCCACGGATAAAAATTATGCATTTTTTTCGAGTACAAGCCTTATACGAGCGTCAATTTTGACATAAAATTGAGTCATAATGGACGTAAAATTCAGCTCAATCAAACGTAGTTTCGAACTTTTCAGTCTCGGAGCACTTAATTTTACATGACATGTTTGTTTACGTCTCATCTTTGATGTCAAACATGGATTCCGTCACGAGTAAGATTAGGTATTTCTAAGTGTGTAATTCATCGAATTTGGGGTTCTGAATCGAACTGGAGGGTTGATTCACCTTAAATCTGATATTGTCATATGTTAAGTATCTCTCTCAACTTAGAATCTGTAATGTTTCGCCGCTTGAGAAGATTCTGTAATAGGGTTGTCGAAAGGTTTTTTAATAATGGTGAAAAATTATTTTCCCCTCTGGGGCTTGAAAATCAACCAAACCATAGCATCTGTCACTTGCCTTCAGTATTACTGAAATAGCTTTCCATTAACCCATATCTATGAATGTGTATTACCAAATCCCATTACAGCAACAATGAAATCTCTATCGAAACACCTCAAATTTAATCAAGAACTCAATCACACAGCATCTGCCAATCAACCGCTGCTACTGCCCATAAATTCCCACATCCAGCCCAAACCAATATTGGCTGTCACCTTAAACTCTCTATGTTTAATTTATACCATCGACCGAAAGTGCCACCAATTCCCTACTGCCTAGGTGTCTGGTAGCAAGACAGCCATCCACCTACCACCGCAGAAGTAAAACAGAGAGATTCATTTAAAATTAAATTTTCCACGCCACACATTTAACTTACATCTGACTTCGTTGTTGGTTCGATTATCCATCCATCCGGCAGGCATCATCGGGCAGAGAAATCCGTTTCACTCACCCACAACCATCAGCATCAACAACGGCAAACTGCAATCATCAGTCAAGTCAGTCTGTGAGAAACCGTCCCCAGGAGCAGCAGCGCCATCGCAATGGCATCAATAAGAAGCGCATCATCATCATCATCGTTCCTCGCGGTGACAATTACCCTAGTACTATTACTGGCAGTGCTGACAATTTGCGGTGAAATTCAAACTGCATCCGCCGCTGCTGTCGTCGATGATGCGGCGCTATCGGTCCATCGCTCGAACGGCGAGCTCTCGGGTATCTCAAGCAACGGTTTCCAATTAGTTCAATTGAGCTGAATAACCAACCAACTTCCCTTCCTTTCCAGAGCCGAGAACATTTGGCCGGATACGAATGCTGAAGAACGTAATGCTGCCGCTGATGTTCCTGCTGGGCGGGATCAAAATGCTGCTGTTGTTCCTCGTTGCCATCTCGCTGAAGACCCTGTTCATCGCATCGTCCATCTTCGTGATCAACATCAGTGTCGGTCTGGCGAAGGTGATAAACTTCTTCAAGCAGGGCCTCGGTGGCCACCACTACAAGGACGCTTGGTCCGGTCAGGACAAGAACGTCCACATCCACATCCACTCGGACCCAAGCCATCACCTGTCGCTGGAAGGTCCACCCCCACCAGGCGCCATTCACAGCAGTGTCGCTCCGACCATTCACAGCGCCGTGTTCCCGTACTCCCGGAGCGACGTCATGGAACCAATCTACACAGCTCCAGCTCAAATGAATCCTTACAACAAGCTGTACATGCAGGGATTGCCCAAACAGAACCTACCGTACGCCGGATGGCAACAGACGGGCCGAAAGGTCCGATAATTGGTTTGCGATCAAGCCTAATAGACCCTAAAAGAAATGCCAAAAGAACCGAACCGAGGATTGCGATTTGCGAGTGCGAACGTCAATTGTGTACAGAAGATATTCATCACAGGTTAAGTTATTTATTTCACTCATTCTCTCTCTCTCTCACGGTGAGCCCCCTTAGTTTGTAGGATCGAAATTGTAGTTACTTCTAAAACTCAGTTCTACGAATGTAAACAAAGTTAGGTTAATTAGACCCTAATTGACGAATGTAGTTGTATGATTCAACAAATTGCGTGACGTAAAAGTAAAAGTGAACATTACACAGCATCCGAGCAGATGCCTTGCGAGCACGGGTTAGTCGACGGATGCTGCTGATGGATGCGAATGCGAAGCTAACGATTTGCAGAGAAAATAAAGAAGCAAAAATGATGTAAATTAACGAACCCTTGTGTAGTGTTATTTTTGTTCGTCTTTCTGCGATCGCGCAGGAATCATCGATGCATAGCATTTTTCTTATAAGGTGGAATTTCACGGTAAAGTGTGAGTCAAAATATGAAGCGTGCAGCCAGTTGGTTATGTGGATTTGAATCGGTTAGTTGATGGGAGTTTAAATGCCATTTTTCTTGAGAAAAGAAGAAGATAACAATTGGTGTGCGCTATATGGTTTTGATTTTACGGTCGATAGTAAACATGCCTCTGAAGTGCCTGTGGCCGTAGGTGGAGCGAGAAGGTATGATAAACAGCGATTACTGTTGCTTGGTCATTAGTAGGTCGGTAAACCAGGTTAGTAGTCGGGATCAATTTGATATGAATTACTAATTGAATCAACCTCGCGATTCTGTTAATGCTTCTACATCAACATTTAAAAACAAATACGTTAAATGAATGGGTAGTAGTGCTTTATCTCTTTTGAATTTGTTAACTGGATCCACATTTGAAACACCATAGCCCCTTGAAACTATGTTTGTGTTTTGAACGCTAATCACTGGCAGCCATTTTAGCCGGATATTATTATTATTATTTAGCTTTATTTAGGAGGCTTTCAGCCTTAGGCTGGTTCGCCTCCATTTTAGCCGGCGTTCCAAGTGTCCCTGGGGAAGTTTGCAGAACTTGAGCTACCTTGCGACATATCGAACCTCATGTTTACCACCAGTTAACTCAATTATCTTCCTTGAAACTGTCTTTGACACTTGTTCAGAAGTCCCTTGGTATATTCTTCAGAATTATCGTAGGGCTCTCAATGAAATTGTAATATTGCCACTACCTTGCACAGATAAAAACATTTTGTAAATTTTTGTTTTTTGACTATAAAATTACACGTTTATCGATCTTAATTAAATTAATTATTGCTGAAATGTACACGTTGATGTAAATGTATGTCGTTATTCGTAGAAAATTAAATCAATTTCAATTAACTGACATGTAAATAACTGCAATGTAAAACCACACCATGTAAAAACACAAAATACTTCAATGTGCCAAACACTGGCGTGCACAGGGTGGGGCAAGGTGGGGCAATTGCCCCTCCTTTTATAAATAAGATTTTTATTTTCACATTTGCAAAATTATAATATAAAATAACTTGATTTCTTGATATCTTGGATTGAAGGTAAAATGTATACATTTTATAAAATAAGACCACTGAAATCCTTTTATTGCGTCAATTTCTTTGAGATGGTGCCTGAAATTTGCACCAAAAGGTGCATGAAATGACAAACTTCAATTAGGTCAAAAACTTGCACCCCAAAGGTGCATACGAAAAAAATCTGGTGTGAATTTTTTGTTTCAGGGTGGTTCATGGAGGGTTAAAAAAAGAGGTTAAATTTAATGTTGAAAAAATTCGCCTTCGTGATGGTAAATCGAAGAAAAAGCTTTTTATTGAATATTTTCGGTGCAAAAATATCATCGAGGAGGGGCACGAAGGGACTAATCAAAATGAATAACTTTGGTGTAAAAATAGAATCACGCTATAAATTTGGAGGAGCACATTTTACTGAAAATTTCTGGTGGAAAGTTCGCAACATTGTGGTGAATGTAGAAGCAAGGTTTATTAATTTTTCTGGTGCATAATTTGCATCGTTCTGATGAATGCAATCTTCATTGAAAATTTATGGTGGAAAATTTGCACCATTCTTGTTCATGACGAGACAAAGCTTGAAAATTGAACCACAAAGGTGCATGGTGAAACAAACTTCACTGACAATTTTTGGTGCACCGTTCTGATGAATGGAGGAGCATGCTTTATTAAAAAAATTTGGTGCAAAATTTGTATTGCTCTGATAAATGAAATGAACGGAATATTTCTGGTGGAAACTTGCACTGGTCTGATAAATGATGGCACAAGCTTTATTTAAAATTAAGCAATATTGAAAATTTCGGGTGGAAAATCTGCACCGCTGAATATAGAAACAAACTTTAATAATAATTGCTGGTGTAAAATTTGCACAATTCTGATGATTGGAGGGAAGCTGTTCTACTGGCGATTTATGATGAAAAGTCTAAAATAGGGACAAACTTTATTTGGAGGAAAACCTGCAACATTCTCATGATAGGAGAAGCAAGCTATAAGGAAATCTGCACCAATCAGAAGATTGGAGAAGCTAACATTAACGGTGAAACATTTGCATCGTTCTGATCAATTGAAATTTTCTGGTGTAAAATTTTATGGGGGCAAGTTTGTTTTTGAAAATTTCAGGTGTAAGATTTGCAACAATCTGCTGCATGGGACGCCAGCTGTATTATAAATTCCTGCACAGTTTTGGTGAATGGACGGACAACTTAAGTTTGACTTCCGAGAAGAACCTCAAGGGTATTGAATTATGACGACAGTTCTAAAAGAAAAGATATCTGGGGATGAGTCCATAAGAAATCTGCGAATAATTTCTAGTGAATCCTGCATCGAATGAAATTCCAAAGGGATGTTGAGAAAAATTTCAAGGGAGTTCCGAGGATAACTTCAAGCGCATTTTGAGAAGAATTTCTGGAGAATACAGAGGAAATTTTTCTGAAACTTTAGGGGAATTTCAGTTCCAATGTGTTTTCTAGGTGGCCACCAAACCGGGAAAACCGGGAAATATCCGGGAATTTGAAAAGTAACCGGGAAAAACGGGAAAAACCCGGGAATCTGGTGAGAGAACCGGAAAAATTAATTAACCATACCATAGGAACAAATTTTTACATCAGAATTTCAGAATAAATCATTAAAACAGAGTGATCCTTTACCAAATGAATGTCTTGCTCTATTTGCTGTATAATTTTCTTCAGTTTCCCGTGTTATTGTTTTTAGAATTTAATCACTCAGCAATATTGTAAATTTATTTTTGTCGTCTCAATTTCAGATGTAAAGTGCATGGTCCTCAAAAGAAAATATTGAAGATGCTGGACTTTGGAAACACATATTTGTAAAAACCGAAACTGAATTATTCTTTTCCGGGGGTTTAATTTTTCGTTGTTCAAAATTCTCATGACATGAGTTCCAGAATTACCTTGGAATTTTGCTCTGAATTATCTTGAAATTGTTCCTTAAATAAACCATAAAACACTCCGCGTAATAGTTACCGTTGAATTCTTTTTGGAATTTCCTTGCAACCTCTTCTAAGAATTTAATTGAAATGCTTCTTAGAATTCCCTTAAGCCTATCCGGAGACTTTGATTCCTTTGAAAATATTTTCAATAATTTCTTTTAACTCTATTCAAAACAGCTGAAATCTTTCGAAATTTTATTTAGAAACCCCTTTAAGTATTTTGAAGAATTTCTTTCTAATTCTCAGCAATTTTTTTGCAATAAATTTTGTTGGAGTTCTTTGATGAATCTTTCGCACTAGGGTTTAAATTATTACCAGCACAATCTAAGAACTCTGTTTCTTGTTGAACTCTAATCATAATTCTCTTGGAATTCTTCTTAAAATTCATCTCTAATTTTCTTCACGATATCCATACAAATCTCTTCAGGAACTTTCCGCAATGTTTTGTTTTTCACAACTCCTTTTTAAATCTTCTAAAATTACCTAACAATTTAATTTAGAATTTGCATTCTTCTCCACAGAAATCCTTCCAAATTCATCTAACAATTACTAGGGTTTTCATGTCAGAATAATTCTGGAAATCTGCTCAAAACTTTTCCTTCGAAAACTGTGTGGGAATCTTTCTCAATATTTGTTTGAAATCAACACTGTGAATTCTTTTAAAATTTACTAAAAAATCCAGGGTTTGTCCGCTAGATGCTATAGATTGTTATGTAATTTGTTATAACCCTTAAAATGCTTCCAAGTCTCAGAGCGTGACAATTATGACTCCACGACTCATAAAGGGTGTCCACGATGAAATTGCCACACACAAAATTGATTCGCAAAATTCGAGTTTTCATCCGATTGCCATCAAATTTTCAGGGATTGAGAAATAACTATTAAACTTCATTTTACCATTTTACTCGTATTTTATTTACAGTCCATACGCAAATGCCCGCACCTTGGCGTTAACCCCGGCCATAAGATTCTGCACAACCTGTGAATCAACCGTTTTTTGCATGTAAACCCATACTTTCTTCAGTTCCTCGACTGTCTTCACTACCTTAGGTCGTTTAAGAAGGTGCTGCTTCATAATCGCCCAGTACTTCTCGATGGGGCGGAGCTCCGGAGTGTTGGGAGGGTTGAACATTTTCGGCACGAAATTGACCTTATTGTCCGCATACCACTTCAGCACGTCCTTGGAGTAGTGGCATGAGGCCAAATCCGGCCAGAAGATTGTTGGGACGTTGTGGGCCTTCAGGAGAGGAAGCAGCCGCTTCTGGAGGCACTCTTTTATGTACACCTGTCCGTTCATCGTGTCCTGGGTCACGAAAGGTGCACTCCGCTTCCCGCACGTGCAGATGGCTTGCCAAACCAGGAATTTCTTCGCAAATTTGGACATCTTCTGAGTGCGGACATGCTCCGGAACGCTGAACTTATCCTTGGCCGTGAAAAACAGGTTGCCGGGGATCTGTTTGAAGTCGGCCTTCACATATGTTTCGTCGTCCATGATGCAGCATTCAACTTTCGTCAGCATGTTGAGGTACAACTTCCTGGCACGGGTTTTGGCGGACTTGTTCTGCTTCTCGTCGCGATTAGGGGCCTTTTGTACCTTGAACGTTCGAAGCCCAGCC